AGCATTCCCATGATAGTTAAGCCTATCGAAATATTTAAACTTTTCGCTGTGTGTCTTAAAGCTCTGTGGTTTCTGTGACATGATCCTTGTGGGAAATTGCTTATTTCTCTGAGATGAGATGTTAAGTCATGACTGGTTTACCGCCCCTATCCCACCCCTTTCCTTTCCCGTACGATATCATCAGTCTTCCTTGACGCCTGGCGAGCGCCTGCTTATACTTCTAGTTGGAGACAGGCTTTGAGAAAGATGAGGTGCTTGTTGCCCAATCTCCTTTCCCCTGTCAATAACCCTACAAAGTTCACCGCGACGTGCTTGAACCATGCCCGTTCACCCCATTCTAGGTGACAAACTTGGAGGAGAAGGGTCGCCTGAAATGTCACCAGTACTGGCCATCAGAAGGTACAGAATCGTATGGTGACATTAAAGTAACCTTGGTGCAGACGGTGGAGCTCAGTGAATTCACCATCCGCACCATGACTCTAAACCACGCCAATAACACCGAGCAACGAACGGTCAATCAATATCATTACACAGTATGGCCGGACCATGGCGTTCCTGAGTGTCCATCTTCACTCCTCACGTTTGTGAGAAAGGCTTCTGGAGCAAATCCTCCAGACGCGGGGCCTATGGTAAGTTATCTTGTATTTGGCCAAAACGAGTCAGAAAGGATTTAATTGAGGAGTGGGGGAGGGAGAAATAAGCTAAACGTTTTATCGCGAAGCGAACGGTGAATTTTATAGTTGGAATATTACTAGTGACTTCCTTGCTAATGAAATCTGAACAAAAACCTCCCCACTAACTTTTCTCTCTGTGATCGTTATGCTGCATCGTACAACTGAGCACAGAAGATGTCTTGGCAAGAATATGTTTTTACGGATAAACTTGTGACACATGTTAAATATTGCAATCGAATGAGGAATTGTTGTGATTTTTAAGTTCTGTGAAGGTTTTTATAAGAGCTGTATTATCGTCCCTTTTGAGCGCTTGAAACAATTCGGATGCACAGTGTGATCGTCATCTTCTTCTGAAAAAAAATGATCCTAGAGAGGAACGTTTTCAAAACCCAAGCACATTTCACCTGCAGAAATAATAAATGTTTCTTTAATAGTTCAGGTATATTATTAGTGAATTGTCGTTCAGGTTGTTCACTGCAGTGCTGGAGTGGGAAGAACTGGTACATTCATTGTGGTAGACGCAATGTTACGCCGCATTGCTGCAGAGAAAACAGTGGATGTCTACGATTATGTCACGTCACTGCGACAAGATAGAAATTTGATGGTGCAAGTTGAAGAACAGTACATTTTGATACATGATGTCCTGGTGGAGGCCATCCATTCCGGATTTACTGAGATACACGCAAATGATCTCAGATCTCACATTAAGAACCTCATGCAAGTGAACCAAACGAGTGGTGCGTGTTTTTTCCACAATATACCATCACATTAATCCCTTATGTTATAAATTAGAAATAAAAACCAATAAATCCATAATTTTTTTTTCTTGTTAACTGTTATTGTATGAACTCTAGGCTTAATGGCAATCACATAACCAGTTTATTGAAGATGCCTCATTCCACTTGTGTCTTTATAAATGTGGTGCTTTTATTTTAAACACCCCTTTAGCTTTGAGGCTTTGAAAGCTTTCTGATGAGATCAAGATAGTCTCTATTAAGCTCAGTCTCCCTTAATGTTTTTTTTTTCAATCTCTAGCTCAATTTTGATGTCAGAGTGTCACTATTTTATGTTGTTAGGCCAAAGTGAGATGGATGAGGAGTTCATTCGGTTAGGTCGCTGCTTCAGCGCTTCTCAGTTCACAACTCAGGCTGCTAACATGGCCTGCAACGCGACCAAGAATCGTTATCCAAATGCGTTTCCCTATGATGAAACCCGGGTTAAACTGAGTGTAATCTCGGGCGTGGAAGGCTCCGACTACATCAATGCTAACTTCATTGATGGTTACATGGCCAGGAGAGCATTTATTGCAACTCAGGCACCCATACCTGACACTATTCCAGACTTTTGGCGAATGATCTGGGAACAAGAATCTTCCACCATAGTCATGTTATCCAAGGAAACAGAAGGTGGCAAGGTATGCTCAATAAACCGACAATTTATCAATAAACCAATCAATCAATGCACTAGTCTAGGATGAGGTTACCAATCTATGTTATGGATGGTTATCTTTTACTAGGGTAAATAAAGATGTCATTTGCATTTCATTGGTAAATAAAAGACAAATGTTTTTTTGGTGATCCCTTTTATGTCCATCTTGCATGAATAAGCATTTCTACCAGTTGACTTTCGTGAGCAACTCTCTTCCGAGAGATCTCGAAAAAAGCTTTGTTTCCTTATAAATGGGGACTCCTAATGTGCAGTAAGACCTCTGATACNGACTTAATTTAATTGAATATACAACAGCAAAGATTATGTTACCATATGGCTTACTTAGTGGTTTTCTCTCTTTTAGGATCAATACGAGTTTATTTACTCTGCTCTCAGTGAGTACTTAGACTCGTTCGATGCCTACAGTAATTTCTGAGCGCC